CCTATATAGGATCCGAACCCGCGTCCTTGGTGTTATCAGCACCGCACTCTACCGAGTGAGCCACGGGCCGGCCCTACATACGTATATCTTAAAGAGTCACTAGAGAAGGAACTTTCAGACTTTAAAGAATCTCCAGCAATAGTTTATACATAACACTTAGTGAAACCATATGTTGAGGTTTTCCATCCTTATTCTTTTTTTTTAAATGCTGATTAGGACCCAATAAATTATTTTCAGTAGGTCTGACCAGGAGTTTGAAAGACTTTGCTATTGCCTGTACAATTATGTCTAGAAATGTAATTCCTGAGGTGCAGGGTATTTGTACTTCAACTATATTATACACTGCCAGATTCCTCTACAGTAGCGGTAACAACTGCACATTTCCACTAGCATTGTGAATCCCTTTCCTATGCTCCTTGATGGCAGTGGGTAATTTCAGTTTACTTGTAATTCTAATCCAGGTAGGTTTGGGTTTATTTTTCAAGGACTTTAACACCTGGTCATCAGCTTTAGACAGACAGCAGCCTCGGGGTTAGCACCTTCTCTAGACTCAGTCTATGTCCATAAATTAATGGCATTGTGTTGTTTCATTGTGTTTATATTTTTCAGTTTACATGTAGCAAAATTGACATTTTTGTGGAAATATCTCTGAGTGATAATAAATTTATATGTAACCATCACCACAATTGGGATACAGAACAGTTCCATCTCCTCAAAAAACTACTTCATATTTTTTTTTTAAACATGTACCATATAACTTACTTTTTTTGAAGGTATCTTGCATTTTATGATGGATTTTTTTCTGGGTTTTGCCATATATTTTAATGTTAAAGATTAAATTATTTTCTACCTGCAAGTAATGTGACTAGTTTCCCGCATGTTTGAACCAATTATAAAAAAATGACATACCACGTGGGTTATGTGTCTTTTTTAATTGAAAAACTAACAAACTGTCTAGTTATATTACCCAACCCCTGCGGAAAAAAACCCCTCACAAACTAGGTAGTAACTGTGTTTCTAGGCGACATATTCAGAGCTGAGAGGATTAAAAATAAAACAAGTCCTCAGACCCAGTTAAGGCAGTCCTGCTACATACAGGCTAATCAATATCAGTGGTACTTCTTAACTCTAGGAGGCTGGAAGACATCCTAATGACCCCACTCAGAACATTTGCTTCAGGTTGCCTTTTTCCAGTTTTCAACCCATGAATAAAGGTAATATTTTATTAATTTTGTTTCAGAAAACTTTTCGCAAGTAGTTTTATTTGCAATGCCAGCTTTTAAAAGGTTACTAAAATTAACTGGACAATAAACTAGGCAGAAATCACTACAAAAAGAGGGAAAGCCCCAAATGCTACTTTATATAGAGAACCTGCAGATCAATTTTATTCAGAGCTAAGAAAAAAGAAACTTTCAATCATACTAGAAGAAACTCAGCCACAAGTTTGGAATCTTGTACTCGTCCACCGTTTGATAGTAAGTGATAAACAGCAGTGCAACTAGTATTTGGAACAGTCCTCATAGTGTTACAGTGTCAGGCACAACATTGCACCACTGGTTCTCTTTGAGTACCTGAGCTTCCTCTTCATCATTTTTGATACTGAAGGTCTCGCGGATCTCCTCAGGAGTTTCCCCCTTGATCATATTGGCAACAGTGTTACGTGTAACATCAAGCAAACGTATGTGTGAGTAGTTTGCAGCCAGAATAAGTGCAAAAAAGCGTCCCTTGGTCAACTTTCAGGAAATCTTGGTCCTACACAAGGATATCATCTGTTCATTTTTCTTTGTTCTCATCATCCTCAGGAGGAGGAGGAGGGTCATCCATGGTGGGTGCACTACTGAATGACCTTTTAAAATACTACTGCATTAACATTTGGTCAGAGAACTGGGTCATCTTCATCATCCATTCCCAAATCTTCCAGCATGGTCTTGATAGTCAGTCATTGTTTGGCATTTTCCACATCAACTTCAAATGTCTGTCCATCAGAACTCTGCCACTTAATTGAAGGAGAGGTGTCTGGTCACAAAGAGATAATGGGCCAGACGCTGACAAGACTGGGGTAGTGTCAGCACAAGCAGAAGAGAAGGATGGAGGACAAGGCCACTCTACCTCATACTTTTCTTAACTCTCCTCCCACTCCTATCCCCTGAAAACCTTTTTTTTTTTTTTTTTTTGTCCTTTTTGAGACTAGCCACACCACACTCAGCCAGTGAGCGCTGTGAGCGCACGGGTCATCCCTGTATAGGATCCGAACCCGTGGCGGGAGCGCTGCTCAGCGCTCCCAGTGCTGCACTCTCCCGAGTGCGCCACTGGCTCGGCCCTTTTTTTTTTTTTCCCCTGGAAACCTTTGATCCATTCTATATCCCAATAGTTTTTGCCTTTTTCAGAATGTCATATAAATGGACAGTAAGTAACCTTTTGACACTGTCTTCTTTCATCCAGTGTAATGCTTTGGAAATAATCCATGTTGTTGCATGTATCAATGGTTCCTTTATTTTTGTTGTTGTGTACTATTCCAGTGTGTGGATGAACCAGTTTGTTTATTCATTTACCTTATCTTTTTTTTTTTTTTTTAAATAAAGTAGATGACCAGTAAGAGGATCTTAACCCTTGACATGGTGTTGTCAGCACCACGCTCTCCCAAATGAGCTAACGAGCTATCCCTATGTGGGGATCCGAACCTATGGCCTTGGTGTTATCAGCACCACACTCTCTTACCTTATCGTTTTGCATTCACACCAGCAGTGTGTGAGAGTTTCAGTTATTCTTCATTTTTCTCAATACTTGGCATTGTCTGTCTGTTATTTTAGACATGGTAGGTATATAGTTGTTTCTCATCATGGCTTTAATTTACTTTTCCTTAATAGCCAGTGCAGTTGACCATCTTTTAATGTGATATGCCATCTGTATACCTACTTTGGTGAAGTGACTGTTCAAATCTTTTGGCCTTTTTTAAAAAATTGGGCTATTTTCTTATTTTGAGTTTGGAAGTTTTTTATGGATTCTGGACAAAAGACTTTTGAATGTGCAATTTGCACATGTTGTCTCACATTCTGCAGTATATCTCAGCAGTGTCTTTTGCAGAGCAAAATTTTTAAATTTTGGATTAATCACAATTTACCATTTTTTTTCTTTCATGGATTATGCTTTTGGTGTCATATCTAAGAACTCTTTTCCTAAACCAAGTTTATGAAAATTTTTTCGTGTGTTTTTCTAAGTTTTGTAGTTTTAGGTTTTATGTTTATATATAACATTCATTTTGAATTAATATTTCAAGGTGTGAGGTATAGATTGAGGTTCACTTGTTTTGCATATAGAGGCACAATTGTTGTAAATACAAAAGAGTACCCTTTCTCCATTAAGTTGCTTTTGCACCTCTGTTGCGAAGAGAGCAGAAGTTTTGCTTTGAATTTTTTTTTTTGTGGATGGTCCTTTTGGTGTTGTATCTAAGATCTCCTTTTCTAGCCCAAGGTCAAAAAAATTTTCTCATGTTTTCTGGAAGTTTTATAATTTTTGCTTTTTGACAGAACATTTATTTCTGTCATCCATTTTGAGTTAATTTCAAGTTAAGGATCCAAGTTAATTTGTTCTTTGTTTTTTTTTTTTTCATATGATATTCCTTTTGTTCCTGTATCGTTTATTGAAAAGATTATTTTTCTGTTTCATTTTCCTTTGCACCTTTATGGAAAAATTGATTGACCCTATTATATTTGTGGTTCTATTTTTGGACTCTATTCTATTCCATTTATTTCTGTCTTTATGACAGTACCACACTTTCTGAATTACTGAATCTTCCTCCAACTTTGTTCTTTTTCAAAATTGTTTTGGCTGTTTTAGGCGCTTCACATTCCTTTATGAATTTTAGAATGTCTGTCAATTATTCCAAGAGAGCATACTGGGATTTTTTTTTTTTTTTTGGCAGCTCGCCAGTATGGGGCTCTGAACCCTTGACCTTGATGTTGTAACACACTACTTGAACCTGTTGCACTAACCAGCCAGCCCAGGATTTTGATTGGGATTGCACTGAATCCCAATCAAAGAGCAGTTTGGGGAGAATGCTATCTTAATAATATTGAGTCCTTTGATCTATATACATGGTATGTCTCTCCATTTACTTAGATCTTGTTTAGTTTCTTTCAGCAGCGTTTTCTAGTATTCAGTGTACACATTTTACCAGATTTATTCCTAAGTATTTCAGACTTGGTGCTATTTTAATTGATAATTTTTAATTTCTATTTTGACTATTAGTGCTGGTATATAGAAATAGTTGATTTTTCTACTGTTAATCTTGTTTTCTGCATCCTTGCCAAACTCATTTATTCTTAGTAGCATTTTGTAGGTTCTGTAGACTTTCTGTACAGACGAATATGGTGTCTGAATAAAGAAAGTTTTAACTCGACCTTTCTAGTGTGGATGCCTTTCATTTCTGTTTTGACTTTTGGTTTTTATTGGAAATACAGCAGAACATTTGTCTTTGGATTCCATTTGGGGTCTCTGCACACACCATTGTTGACTAAGTTTTATTTTTAGATTGTATGTAGGATTAACATATTTCTTTTCTTTTTTTTTTTTTTTTCCTTTTTGTCTTTTTTCATGACCGGCAATGGATCGCAGCCCTCAGTGTCGCGCCCGTACCGGACCGGGACTGGCCACGGGATCGCAACCCTCGGTGTTGCTCCCGCCCCTCGCTCAGCCAGTGAGCGGCCGGTCTGTACGCGGGATCCGAACCCTCGGCGGGAGCGCCACCACACTTCCCAATCGGCGCACTACAGCAGTGCGCCACCGGGCCGGCCCAGGATTAACATATTTCTAAAAGTTAGAACTATATAAAAAGATATACTCAAAGCTAGTCACCCTCATATATTTTTTTGTGGGGGGGGCATATTCCTTTTTCTTCATGCTTTACACCCTGTTTCCACCTATCAAATAAATTCAGCTTTTAATCTTGCCTAATTCATGGTGTTCACATTTTGGGTCTTTCCCTCCCACTATTCCATCATTTTTCTTTAAAGTAACTTCCCTCCAGGTTTTAACAAAAGTGTAGAAATTTATTTTTTTTTGTGAAAACTAGAACACATTGATAGAAAAAATTTTAAGATTAGAAATATGGCACTTTCGGGCCAGCCCGGTGGCGCACTGCTATAGTGCGCTGCTTGGGAAGTGTGGCGGTGCTCCCGCCGAGGGTTCGGATCCCACATACGGACAGGTTCCCGCTCACTGGCTGAGCGAGGCGCGGGAGCAACACCGAGGGCTGCGATCCCGTTGCCGGTGGCGGTCCGGTACGGGGGCGACACTGAGGGTTGCAATCCATTGCCGGACACGGAAAAAGACAAAAAAAAAAGAAAAGAAAAAAGAAATATGGCACTTTCATTAAAAGAGGAATTCTTAAGCCAGATTTTATGAATTTCCTAAAGTTTTGTTTATAGTGTGTGTGTGTGTGTGTGTGTGTACATACAAACAAATGTATGTATTTTGGTGCATTTTTTTCTGGAGAGTGGGGCTTATAACTTTCATCATATTTTCAGAAGAGTTTTTTTAAAGGAAAAAAAAGAAAAAAGAAAGCCAAAATAGCCTTTAGAATGAATGAGTTTGGGCCTAACCAGTATAAAGACATGGTTAGTGAACCTCTTGTCTCTTGAGTCTTTCGTTACCTTTTCAAGATAACGTTTTAAATGTCTATTGTAGGGGCCGGCCCGGTGGCGCACTGGATAGTGCACCGCTTGGGAAGCGCGGCAGCGCTCCCGTCCGAGGGTTCGGATCCCACATACAGACCGGCTCCTGCTCACTGGCTGAGCGAGGCGCGGGAGCAACACTGAGGGTTGCAATCCCGTTGCCGGTCCCCGGTCTGAACCTCTTGTCTCTTGAGTCTTTCGTTACCTTTTCAAGATAACGTTTTAAATGTCTATTGTAGGGGCCGGCCCGGTGGCGCACTGGATAGTGCACCGCTTGGGAAGCGCGGCAGCGCTCCCGTCCGAGGGTTCGGATCCCACGTACAGACCGGCTCCCGCTCACTGGCTGAGCGAGGCGCGTTGCGTGAGCGAGGCGCGGGAGCAACGCCGAGGCTTGCGATCCCATCGCCAGTCCCCGGTCCGGTGCGGGGGACCGGGGCAACACTGAGGGTTGCGATCCGTTGCCGGACACGGAAAAAAGACAAAAAGACAAAAAAAAAAAAAATGTCTATTGTAATGTATGACTATTGCTTGCAGTTAATCCATTTCTGCATGTCACCTCAACACCTGGTGGTTGTAAACCTTTTGGCCTATTTTGAATCGCAGATTTGAGGAATTTGAATACACTTCAGAAGTTTCCTTTCAGGTTAAAATTTTTTAATGGTTATTTTTTAATAAAGCTGTTAAAAGAATCTTTGGATTACTATTGACAAGTCATTAAAAAGTTACTCTAGGGGCTGGCCCGGTGGCGCACTGCTACAGTGCGCCGCTTGGGAGTGCAGCAGCGCTCCCGCTGAGGGTTCAGATCCCACATACAGACCGGCCACTCACAGGGTTGCGATCCCGTGGCCAGTCCCGGTCCGGTACGGGCGCGACACTGAGGGTTGTGATCCGTTGCCGGTCACGAAAAAAGACAAAAAGGAAAAAACAAAAAAGTTACTCTAGCAGAGAAGGGTAGAGTGTTCAAAGCACATATCACATTTTAAAAGAATCTTTGAGCAGTTTGCCGCATGTGTCTTCCTTTTTGGATGCTCATGTCTGAAAGCAGAGCAGCGTAGCATAGCATAGTGCTCAAACCCTTGGTTACAGTGGCCTCTCTGCCTGAGTTCGTTCCTGGCTATGCCTCCTGTTTGCCAAATGATTTTGTTTCCTCACCTAACAGATGGCAATAATACTTGCATGTAAAATAAATTAAAGTAGGAAGGGACTTGGAAGTAGAAATGTTTCAGCAGAATTCTTAGTGCCCCCTCCTCCCGTCCTTAAGTTTCCTACGCTGTGTGTGGGGGTTCCATTGGGGCGGGTTTAGGTGAAGGTTGGATAATGTCATCATGTTCTGAGGTTTAAAGACTTTATTGCTTGTTAAATCTGTTAAATTATAATAAGAATTTTCTTTTTTCTTTCCACCAAGCCAAACTAGCAAGACGCAGTCAAGAACGAGACAATCTTGGCATGTTGGTCTGGTCACCTAATCAGAATCTGTCAGAGGCAAAATGTAAGTTCTACAGCACCTTTATTTTCCACCTTTCTAATTTAGTGTAAGGTTTTAAAGGCACATTTGTAGCTAAAAGTCTCTACATATATTTTACATTTTTGAATAGGTAACTTGAAGAGTTTGAAAGTATTTCTTCACTGTGGCCTGTCATAGTAATTTAAAGATTCCTAACCTGTGGTTTCATAATCTTCAATGTTTTTCAAAGTGCTATAAGCTAATACTGAAGTAACTAGGAGAAAAGACTCAGAGTGGAAAGAAAATAATAAGCAGTGTATAACTCCCTCAGGTGGGAATTTATAGATTAATAAAGACAAAGAGTTGAACAAGTTTTAATTAATTAGATGGATTACAAAGGGCAAACGTATGTTATTGGAAATAGGCCTTATAATGTAAGACTTCAGCCTAGCTGAAAGTAAAACATTTGAATTGACTATTTGACAGTGTTTAAAATTTTATTAGGGTAAATATTCTGAGCTACACTGGATTTTCTTTTGTGGGGGTAGGGGTGCTATGGCCATTAATAATATTAATTATATTTTCTATCCTTTCTCAAATAATACCATGAAGGTTAATTTTATATCTGATATATTATCATGTCTTCACCATTTTCAAGTTTTTATTTTCTTCATAACTTAAAAGAGGGAAGGCAAACTAAATCCCCCTTTTGAGAATTTTTCATTTGGGGGTAGTCCATGGATGGCATTTATGGGAGTTTGTTAACTAGGTAATCACATGCAAAGTTTTTGGTATAATGTGCACTCTCTGGAGAAAAGGACGTTGGATTCTCAAAGAGGTTTTTGACAAAAATAGGTCAATAATCATTGCTTTAAGACATAAGAAATCTGTTAAATTCTGAGTAAAGGCTGGTGGAATTCTTAGGCTTCGGTCAGGATTTCCCAAATTGTATTTCGCAGTACTGAAATAGGTGTTAAGAGGCTGAATCAGAGAGATGATGCATACTCTGTATCCTCTTGAATGTTCAAAACCTGTATTAGCATATTGAAGGTGCTAAGAGCTTATATGATAAAGAAACATGTTTAATTTTGACCCAGAAGGATCCCTTTTTTTGTATAGTATCCTCTATGGAGCATGGGAAATCCAACTATTCTTTTTTTTTCTTTTTTTGGGGGGGGCCTGCTGGTTGGTCTGGGGATCTAAACCCTTGACCTTGGTGTTATAACACTGTGCCCTAGTCAACTGAGTTAACTGGCCAGCTCCCTTAACTACTCTTAGAAATTTTAAATTTAGCAATATAAAATACTCTTCTCTGTCCAATCTGATTTTTTTAAAAAGAGTATCTTAATTTTACCTTCAGCAGGCTGCTGTTTTGAGTTTATAATGGAGAACAGAATAGCAGAGAAAAATTATTGGCATTTCTGATGCCTTTACCATGGTCAGAAAGACCTTTTTAAGTATTTCTTGATTTTTTTTCCCCTTTGAGCACTTGCACTGACTTACCAAAGCAGTCTATTCCATTTCTGAACATGTTGTTCTTTCTCACTGAGACTGAAAATCTGCCTCTCTGTAATTTGTAAAGCTTTTTTTCCTCCAACTCTGCTAAATAAGTCTTCTTCCATCTGAGTCTTAGATATACAGTCAATCCTATCTCCTTTACTGTCTGAGCCCAAGTTAAACCTGCCTGTTGTTTCAGGTGGTTTTTTGGGTCTTTTTTCATTTTCTGTTGCCTTTCTGGATATATTTCAGTTGGTCACATCTTACATTGTATGAATATTAAGAATAGTGAGCATTTGTTGAGCCTTTATGCTGAGCCTTTATCCATCCTCCCATATTATTCAGTCTTCACAATCCAAGTTGAAGTTTTTGTACCCATTGTATAGATGGCATTCCATAGTTCAAAGATGGTTGTGAAACTGACACAGATAGTTTATATTGTATTAGTATCTTTTGCTTATTGTATTACCTATTGGAGTCTTTGGAGTCAGAGTTTAATTTTAATATTATCTTATTTTTCCAAGACCTAGAAGAAAAGAAAAGAATATGGAAAGTTAATAAGTTTTAAAAGGGCGGGGTTGCCTAAAATAGATTGCAGTTTTACTGTAAGCCCTGCCTGTATTGTTTAAAAGTTAAAATTTTAAAAACCAGTCTAAAAGTAACATTTATATATTGCTGAAGGTTCAGAAGTCACAGAAAAGTAAAAAGAGAGAACTCACCCATTATTTCATCACCTAGAGATAACTGTTAACCATTTTGGGGTATATCTTCTAATCTTTCTTCCTGTGCATATTTATATAAGTGAGACAATGATATGGTGTGTGTGTCTGTCTGTTGTCTTTGTGAGCATTGACCTAAGCATTTCCCATGTTGTTAAAACCCCTTGTAAATATTTTAGTTAACTGTGCAGTATTACATGATATGGATATATCAGTGTATTTAACTGTTCCTCTTTTGAAAATTAAGGTATTTTTCCTAATTTGTTGCTATTGTAGAAGAAGCCTACAGTGAAAGACTGAATCATAGAGCTTTGTTTTGTTTTCAGTATTTTCTTAAGTTGTATTCCTAGGAATGGAATTGTGGGTTGTAGAGAATTTGCTTCACAATTCAAGTAAGAGAATGTGAACATAGTGTGGTTCTTTGGTGTGAGTTACGTTCCTCTGAGTAGGTTACCATTTGTGGAGCTCTGGGAATCATAGTCCTTGACTACTAGTCTAGTCCTACATAAGACTTAAAATGTAATAGGGCTGGCTGGTTAGCTCACTTGGTTAGAGCATGGTGCTGATGACACCAAGGTCAAGGGTAGGGATCCCCTTACCAGCCAACTGCCAAAAAGAAAAAAAAAATGTAATTCTAGTGTTAATGCAAACAAGTATACAAAAATTTTCTCTTTGTCATCTATCATTTTCCCTTCAACTCTCCTCCTCCCCAATATATAGGCAAAAAAGAAGTATTTTCTACTTGCCTTTCTTGTAATTCTAGTGTTAATGCAAACAAGTATACAAAAATTTTCTCTTTGTCATCTATCATTTTTCCTTCAACTCTCCTCCTCCCCAATATATAGGCAAAAAAGAAGTATTTTCTACTTGCCTTTCTTTATTTTGAAAGAATGTGGAAGTCTTAGTTGTCCAACATTGATTCTGACTTTAGGTAGAAATAGAAGATTTAGGACATGTATACATTTCTAGTAGATATCCAGTAATTATGTGTAAAGATTTCTGTAGATTCCTGGCTTTTTCCTTGTACAAAGTGGCTGTTTAGAGCTCTGCCTCTTAGGGTTACTAAAAGTTTTAAAAATTTCGTGGTTATAAAAATAAATGCTATTGTAGAAAATTTAAACAGTACATAATATATAATATAGATTGTGAAAGTCCTTCCATAGCCATTATTTACAATGTATATGCTTTTCCTAATGTTTTTATGCATATTAATAAATGTGTAAATTTTGTCACAACATATGAGCTGTATCATTTTCTCTTAAAAATATATATGGGACTTTGTTCCATCTCAGTACATCTATAGTTACCTCATTTTTTACTGTAACAACTATGAATGTACCATAGTTTAATCTTTATTTTAAACAAAATTACCTATTGATGAATATTCATAATCTTTCAGTTCTTTTTTTCTCTCTCTTTAAAAAAGCCATAGTGAACACTCTTATTTATTTAGTATAAATCTCTAGAAACGGAATTCCTAGGTTAAGGGGCAAATATATCATTTCTTCTTTCCTTTTTTTAACCAAACTATATTTTATTTTATTATTTTTCTTATACTCAGTATGTACTTATGGAACAATCATAATTATATTTGCATGAAAATAGCACTTTATTTTTATTTCCCCTTAAAATCTGCTCTTTTTTAAAAAAAATTTATTATTATTTTCTTTATATTCTATGATGTTGTGGAGCAGTTGGGAGGGAGCAGGGGAGGGGGATAAAATGGGAAGAGGAGGAAGAAGTGGGGTCATGGTCAAGGCCCATGGCACCCTGCTCATTCTGCCAGGGGAGCTCAGGGGCCTTCTGGTGGCTGCCTGGTGGTCATCGCTGGGCTGGATGCAGATGTCAGCCGGGGAGGGAGAGGTGTGTGTGTGTGTGTGTGTGTGTGTGTGTGTGTGTGTGTGTGTGTCTGAGGCCCTTGCAGATGTCAGCCGGGGCGGGAGGGGTGTGTGTGTCTGTGTGTGTCTGTGTCTGAGGCCCTGTGTGTGTCTGTGTCTGAGGCCCTTGGACCCCCACCAATCCGATTCAGGAGCCCGAAGAATAGACTTTATTTTTAAGAGCAGTTTTAGGTTCACAGCCAAATTGAGCAGAAATTACAGAGAGTACCCATATACCTCTGCTGCCAGATACCCACAGCCTCCCCACTGTCAACATCCTTCAGCATCCTGAACATCCTGCACCTGAGTCCATCAGAGGATATGTTTGTTACCATTGATGAACCTTCATTGACACTTTATCATTCAAAGCCCATGGCTTACATGAGGGTTCATTCTTGTGTTGGATGTTCTAAGGGTTTTGACAAATGTATAATTACATGTGCACCATTAATTGTAGTATCATACAGAATAATTTCACTACCCTAAAAATCCTTTGCTCTGCCTGTTCATCCCTCTCTCCCTCCTAACCCCTGGCAACCACTGGTCTTACTGTCTCCCTAGTTTTGCCTATTCCAGAATGTCATACAGTTGGAATCATATAGTATGTAGCCTTTTCATATTGGCTTCTTTCACTTAGTATGTATTTAAGGTTCCTCCATGTCTTTGCATGGCATGATCGTTCATTTCTTTTTAGTACTGAATAGTATACCATTGTGTAGATGTACCACAGTTTATCTTGTGTACTGTCATGCTGAAAAAGTACTCCCTGGCCTCCCAAAAAAGACTGTATGTGTGTACACGCAGACACACGCACACACACGCACGCGTACGTTTTCTTCTGTCTTCCCCTCCTTATTCTTTCTGGAATTATTGAATTTATTTTTCTTCACTTGTGTTTGTATATATGTACTTTGGTCTGTGTTGGCACTCCTGATTTTGTTTCATTGTTCTG